ATCATCACCATCATCATCATCACCACATCATCATCATCATCACCATCACCATCGTCATCACCACCATCATCATCATCACCATCACCATCATCACCACATCATCATCATCATCACTATCACCATCGTCATCACCACCACCATCATCATCATCATCATCACCACCATCACCATCATCACCATCACCATCACCATCATCACCATCACCACCATCATCATCACCACCATCACCGTCACCATCATCATCCCACCTTAAGAGAATAGTCATGGCCTAAAAAGACATTATACAACAACAACAACTGATGATTTTTAAAAAAATTTTAATAGAAGAGGGAGTGGTAACCATTGAGAACTGTTGAGAAAAAAATGAGAGGACTGGAAGATAAAATGAAAGAAATATCTCAAAACCCAGAGGAAAAGTCTCAAAAGATGGAAATCATGAGAGGAAGGATAGGAGAGTTACACGTGGATGACAAAAGTTCCCGAAGGAGCTGGGAAGGAGATGGAGGAAAGGAAATATTTAAAGAAGTAATAATGAGACTTCCTTTTCTGACAGTATAGTAGATCAAATTCTCAGATTAACCCTCCTGCAGCAACAATTAAGAAAGCTGTATAAACCATTCAAAGCTTTTTTTAAAAGAGTCACTGAGCTGAGGAAGGAAGGCTCAGGGGCCAAAATCACAGTGGAAGCAGAAATTCAAAGAGTGAAGCTGATCCATGGTGAAGCCTCCAGCCTCCCTGAGGACATCTGTTGAACCCTTGTAAGCTCGACCTTCTATTTTCCTGGCCGCAGGTGAGAGACAGGAGATAACACCGAAAGATCGTCAAAGGTGGTGAGTCTGATAGGAGACAACTGCCCAAACCCAGGACCACGAAGGACTGTACCCCAGTGTAAGTGAACCAGTGAAATCAACAGTATGGATATCAATCTTTTATCAACAGATTCAGTTTCGAGGAGAGGGAGTGTACATTGAAACAAAACCACTAAACCCTCAGGAAAATAAGGCATCGTGAGTGAAAGTCAGCCCAGACTACAGACAGCAGAATCACACTCACGAGGGTTTGAGATATTGGAATTACCAAACACGGATCATAGAATAAATATATTTAATATCTCTAAAGAAATTAAAGAGGGTATTGAAAGTATAAGTAAGGAATAAGAGAACATAGAAAATGTCTGGAAAGATGTGAAAAGAGCCAAATAATACATCTAAAAGTGAAAAATATAATTGAAATGGAAACTTAATAGATATCTTAAGTTGCAGATTAAGACGCAGATGAAGAAAATAACCTGGAACGTGGATCTGAACAAATTGCTGTGAATCCGGAAGAGACAAAGATATGGAGGGGCAGGAAAGAGAGAGGAAGGGTATCGAACATGTGTCTAACCAGAGTTCCCGAGGGGGATAGAGAGAATGAGGACGAGGCAAGGTACACCAGAGTGACATTGAAAGACGTCA